TAAGCACGTTTCTTGTAGCTGAGCTGCGAGCTGTCTTGAAGGCCAAGGGCCTGGCCGTGTCAGGGATCAAGGAGGACCTGGTCACGAGGATGATCAAGCACGGATGCGTTCTGTCGGATCGCCAGGCCAAAGAGATCGAGCAGCTACGGGTGATGGCTACAGCGTATGGACCTCTTGCCAAGCTCAGCTTGCAGGACATCAGCAGTCCAGAGGCCGCGCAGAAGTGGATCGAGACGTTCAAGAGCGAGTGCGGAGACCGTTCCAGAGGCTCTCAGGTGATCCACGGAGAGGGCCAGGAGAATGGTCGCAGGAAGCACTACGACAGCCGAAGGTGAGCTTTCTTTTACAGGCTGCGGTTTGCCCCGCGCCTGCCCTCTGCGGGTAGCCCCGCGATGGGCTTAGGTGGCCAGCGCCGTTGCGAGGCCTGCTAAGGGAGCACAAAGTGGTTTCCCTGTGGCTCACTCTTCTCGGCTGGAGGCCGAGCCGCTTCCCGCGCCCAAGGAGAGGTGCTAGGAAGTTTGTAGTTTTACACATATATGTGATTATAGAAAATATAATCAGACTGTCCTGGAGGATCCAGGAAATCCTGCAGCCCTTTGTTGCTCGAGAAAAAGAGCGACCCTCACCTCCCCCTTTCTCCGCGAGGGGGGGTGGGTGCGCGTGCAGCGACCCTACCTAGAAGTTGGAGTCCCTAGGAAAGCAACATTCGTTGCTATGCTATGCCATGCCATGCTATGATATGCAATGCCATGATATGATATGCAATGCTGCGCTATGCTATGCTATGCTATGCTAATGCTATGTTATGCTATGCTATGCTATGCTATGCTGTGGCATGCTGCGCTGGCTGCTAAACTATGGTTTGCTATGCTGAGCTGAGCTATGCTATGCTACGCTATGCCAGGCTATGGTGTGCTCTGCTATGCTAAAGCTCAGCGAAGCTAAGATGAAGGTCAACTAAGCTAAGATAAACCTGAGCTAAGATGAAACTAAGCTAAGATGAAATAAGCTAAGCTAAGATGAGATAAGCAACGCTAAGCTGAGGGGACGTAACTGGGGGAACCGCGGGGCGGATACTGGGGGAACCGCCCGGGGCGCTTTCCACTGCCCGGCCCCTTAAGCCCAGAGAGTAAGAACCCTTCTAGGCAGAGCCTAGGTAGGGAAAAATAGTCTGGGGATTTTTTTGAGTATGGTTTGATCATTTTGGTGTATTTTTCGAGTATTGTTTGTTTTTCGTCGAAAATCCCCGTGTAGGGGGACACGCCCGACTTACGACATGTCCCTTCTCCCCCCCAAAAAAAACTCGTCCGCGCACGTGCCTCGGGCACGAGTTGCGAGCGCCCTTCGGGGACGCCCCCCTCTTGGACGCCCCCGATCGCTGCTCGGCCTGGGGGGGCATGGTCGGGCGTTGCCAAAAGGTGCCCCTGGCCCAACTTGCCTCCAGCTTTTCGCTCCTTTGTTTGCAGCCCCTTGAGCACTCTGGGCCTCGTGAGGGGTGCTCTGGAGGCCGTGGGGGCCTCCCTGGAACTCCTGGGGGGCACCTTGGGTCAGGGGCACTCCTAGCAACACCTGGCATTTCGAGTAGGGGATCGACTACAGAATAGATAAATCCCATAATTGATTTTCACGCCGGATTTGTAAACAAGCATGCGCATCATGTCCCGCAGATCTGCGGACACTCTTCGCGCCTCTGGGGTAAACCAATTCTGGGGTATGTCGATTCTGCAGTCGATCCCCTACTCCAGGCATTGGGGGGTGTGGGTGTCCGTTGGGATCTCGTGTCGAGGATTCTCGCGGGCCTCTTCGAGGCGGTTTCGAAGGGTCTTGGGGGCCGTCTGGGGGCTTCTTGTGGGCCTCTTGGGGGCTCCTTGGGGCGTCTTGGATGCCTCAAGGGGGTCTCTTGGGGCCGCTTGGGGGCCTCTTGGATCCTCGGGAGAGCTGGGGTATATCGATTCTGTAGTCGATCCCCCTACTCGAGGTACAGTCGGGGCCCTGAAGAAGGAACCCTTTTCGTTGGGGAGGGGCTCGGTGTTCCTTAATTGTTTCACAGTTTTCCCCACGTTTTCCTTAGGCTTTCGGAGGGAAGTCGAAGTTTAATGTATGGAAAAAAGGGGCCTCGTTCCTTATTTAGGGTTCTTTAGGTCAACGCCCCGACGGTACTGGAGGGCGGGGGAGAAGGCGCGTGAATTTCTCACTGCTCGGGACGCGGGCGAGCGCGCAGCGCACGGCGCCGTGGGAGCCTCGGCGGGCACGACAGGGGGGGGGGGAATAGGCACGACCCTCCTCCTCCTCCTCCTTCTCCTCCTCCTTCTGCGCATCTGGCACTTCCTCCTCCTCCTCCTCCTCCTCCTCCTCCTCCTCCTCCTGACCCCCAATCGCCCACTGATCGCCGATAGGGGCCCGATAGCCCCAGCCTGCCCACAAGCGAGCAGATTCGCCATCGGAGACCTATCGCCGATCTATCGGCGACGTCGTATCGCCGAGTCCAGGTCGATGTGTCCTCCCCTATACCAGTCCCCCCTATCGTTGCCCCCCCCCCCACGAGCCCGGGGGGCAGAGAGAAGGGACGGGTCGGGAGCCTCGAGACGGGGGTCAATGCAAACGGGGGTCAGCCAGAGCGCCGGATCTTGCAGGATGCTGCAGCGCCAGGGTCGCATTGACCCGGGTTTGGGTGCAGGATCCTGCAGGATCTTGCAGGATCCTTCGCATTGACCTGGGTTTGGGTGCAGGATCTTGCAGGGTCTTGCAGGATTTTGCAAGGCCTGACTGACCCGGGTCTGGATTGACCCGGGTCAGAAGATCCCCGAACGGGCCTTCTCGGAAGGCTCGGAAGTCCTCTGGCCCCGAGAAGTGCACTGTAATCCTTCCCCGGAAAAGGCCCTCTCGTTCTCACTTCCCCCATCGCTCGCCGCCGAGAGGAGGAAAGAGGGCGCAAGAGTGACCTTTCGCCAGAGTTGGTGGGCATGTTTGCCACCGCCACCACCATAAGTAGGAGGGGGAGGGGCTCGTCCTCTTTTTCTTCCTCCTCCTCCTCCTCCTCCTCATCCTCCACGTCCTTCCCCCTCCAACTTCTGGTGGTGGTGGTGGTGGAAAACAGGCCCATCAAGAGTGGCCCTTGCTTCGGGCCCACTGGGGTCCCCCGATCGCTGAGCGCTCCGCAGCTTGCGCGCTCGGGCATGGGCCCTCGCGCGCCTTCCCCCGAAGAAGCACGCCCAAGGCCACTCTGGTTATGGGCTGCTCCTGCGCTCAGCCGAGGGAGGGAGGAGAAGGGAGGCGGATAGGGGGAAGGGGGAGGAGGGAGGAGGAGGAGGAGGAGGAGGAGGAGGAGGAGGAGGAGGAGGAGGAGGAGGAGGAGGAGGAGGGGGAGGGGGAGGAGGCGGATAGGGGGAAGGGGGAGGAGGGAGGAGGGAGGAGGAGGAGGGAGGAGGGAGGAGGAGGAGGAGGAGGAGGAGGAGGAGGAGGGACAGGGAAGGGAAGAGGACCATAGAGTACACCCGGGATGCGCCAGCGATGTTGCAGCACGCCCTCGCGTCCCGGGCCCCCGCCTCACGGGAGCCGTTGCAACGGTGCCGCTCCGCTGCGGGAAGGGCGCCCCTTGAAGGACGACCGCCCCATGGTTTTGCAGTGCAGGCGAAGCCTCTTTCCTTTCGCGAATGGGTTGCCTTTTCGCCAATGGGTTGCAGCACGCCCTCGCGTCCCGGGCCCCCTCCTCACGGGAGCCGCTGCAACAGTGCCGCTCCGCTGCGGGAAGGGCCCCCCTTGAAGGACGACCGCCCCAGGGTTTTGCAATGCGGGCGAAGCCTCTTTCCTTCTCGCGAAGGAGCTGCCATCCATGCCCTTGGCAGGGAGGACGACGGCGAGGTGCGACCAGGAAGTTCACGAAAGCGTCCAGCGAGAGCCTCGCTCCGAGAACGAGCCGCCTTCAATCCCGTGCAAATGCTCCGCAACCTCGCCCGTCTAAGGACATCTAATTCAAGGACATCTCAAGTGAGAGCCCCGATTTGAAAAGTGGCCGTCCTCCGTCAGTGGATCGCTCTGCCCAATCAATGGCGCTCTTGATCCCCAGGCATTGCGCTGGAGATTCGCCGGGAGCCCGATTGGTGGCCGGCCGTGGATGCTTCGTGGGCGCCCCGTGCGCTGGGTGAGTCCGCTGGGGTTTTGCTTGGCGCCCAGTTTGTACCCACAGGTGGGCGCCTCGTGGGCGCCCCGTGCGCTGGCTGGGTCCGCCGAGGTTTTGCTGGGTGGCCGCCCGGAAGCGCACTCGTGGGGTCCGCTGCAGATTACGTCGCGTAGCTTGCATCACATAGCCTGCACCACACAGGCTGCACCACGTGGCTTGCACCGTATGGCCTGCACCACATAGGTTGCACTACATGGCCAGCACCACATGCATTGCACCCCATATCTTCCACATATCTTCCACCACATAGGTTGCACCACATAGCTTGCAACACAGAGCTTGCAAAGCGCGCGCCCAGAGTGCAGCAACTCACTGCTCGGGGCCCACACTGGCAAGCGTGTCTTGTCCACCGCGCCTCGTGCCTTCCTCCGTGCTTTTCCGGGCACGGCGTCCTCTCTGGGCGCCCTCTGCTCTGGGGCAGCAGCAGGGGGAGGCAGACTCAGGGTGGATGCATCGACCCCCGATCGCCCACTGATCGCCGGTGGAGGCCCGAGGGGCCCACCCCGCCGTGGCACGTGGGGTTTAGCTATCGAGGGCGCATCGTCGATCTATCGGCGACGTGTCGCCGATTCCAGCTCGACGCTGCCTCTCCTGAGCTCGTCCCCCCCTAATGTTGTTCCCTGGCTGCCGGGTCATAACCTGGCTCTCCCGCGGCCGCTCGGGATTACCCGGGCAACCCCGAGGCGAGCGCTCTCGGCGAGGCGCAGCTGCCGGAGAGCACCCTGAGGCTGGAAAACCGCTGGGGCCCGACGAAAGCCGAACACCTCGCACCTGCTCCCTGACGCTGCCCCCGAAGACCTCCCCACGTGCCGCTCGTCGCAGCCGCCCGGCCCTTCGGCACGAGGTGCACGGCCGTGGCGGGCGCGTCGCGGCGGTGCCGCCCGCGGAAGCCCATGCGGTCCAGCAGCTCCCCCGCGGCCGGCGCCGCGGGCCGCTCGCCCTCGGCCCTCTGCCGCTCACCCTCGGCCGCCATGAAGGCCAGCAGGAGCCCTCCGCCGCTCGCCCTCTGCCGCTCGCCCCCTCTGCCGCTCGCCCTCTGCCGCTCGCCCTCTGCCGCTCGCCCTCTGCCGCTCGCCCTCCACCCTCTGCCGCTCGCCCTCTTCCGCTCACCCTCTGCCGCTTCGCCCATTGACGCTCGCCCTCCGCTCGCCCTCCGCAGATGGACCTCTGCCTCCATGAAGGGCCACAGGAGCCCCCAGGGGTCAGCGACTGATCGATGATCCTCAGGACATGCATTAGCCCAGTGTGTGGTTACCCAGTGTAGATCTGCCGCTCGAATGCAGCTTGCGCCTGCCCTCATCACAACGCATGCGTTGTATTGAAGGGCGTCGGTGGACAAAGACATCGTGGCAGTACCACACGTTCTGTGGATCATCGAACTGTTATCCACTCGACTTGCGGGGATCAAGCCAGGCAAGTCGAGGTACATCCAGATGAGCCCACGTCCGCTGGCCGACGTGTCGCTCGACGACAGTCACACTGGAGATGCAGAGATCGGTGCTTCTGGGGAACGCGTGGCTTCTGGCCAGGTCCTGGGCCCCGGAGAGGGGCCCTCTGGCTTTCCGCCCGCGCCTTTTGCGAACAGCGCCGACGTCGAGAACCGATGCCCGCGCGCATGTAAATCCCGATAGGTCGGTGGTGAACCCAGCGATCTCCAATGGGGATCCCCAGTGGCGACCCTGAGGTGGAAGTGAGAAGGAGGGGGCCCTCTCAGAAGGCCAGGAAAACCCCCCTCCTCTGGAGGAGATTTCCAAGGCGTCCATGACGGCACCGAACATTTCTCAGAGGGCCACAGGGCTTCTGAGAAGTCCCGCCGCCTTCTGAGAAGGCCTTCTCCTTCTCACTTCTCCCCTTTGCTCGCCGCCGAGATCTGGAGCAAACCGTGGACGCTCCAGGGCAAGCCGAGCGTCCGCAGAAGTCGTGGAGCCCTTCGCGCAGGAGGGCCAGCGGCCGCGGCGGCACCACGGCGCTGTCGGCCGCGGCGCTGGTGCTGCAGGGCGCCTCGCCGAGCTCGGCCCCTCAGGGGGATGAAACTGGGGAGAACCCGCCAGTGGACACAAAATCATGTCGAAGATCTGGGGTGGTGGTGGTGGTGGTGGTGGTGGTGGTGGTGGTGGTGGTGGTGGTGGTGGTGGTGGTGGTGGTAGTGGTGGTGGTAGTGGTGGTAGTGGTGGTGGTGATAGTTGTCGTCGGTCGTCGTTGTCGTCGTCGTCGTCGTCGTCGTCGTCGTCGTCGTCGTCGTCGTCGTCGTGGTCGTCGTCGTCGTCGTCGTCGCCAAGAAGCTAGCGATGTGCGTGCAGGGCGCCGTTTTCGGCGTCTAGAGGCCCTCGCCGGGCCCCGAGACTGTCAAAACACGACTCGGGACGAAAGCTGGCCCTGGGGAAGGGATCGAGACTCCTGCGGACCTCGCATGGGAAAATAAAGACACCGGAGCTCAGGGCCCGAAGGGCGCAGCAGTTGCCGGCGCTGCCCTGGCTGGCGTCGGGCTCGCGTTCGCGGCGCCGGAGCCCGTCGCATTGAGGCTGACGGTGACCACGGCCTTCGACCTGGCGGTGAAGGTGCGCGTGCAGGGCGCCAAGGTGCACTCGGAGAGCAGCCCCCTGCCCGCCGTCTGCGCGTGCGGCTCCACCGCCACCGCCGCCTACGCCCCGACCGTTCTCGGCCCTGGCCGCGAGGTGAAGGTCGAGGAAGACAAAACGGCATACGAGTAAATGTTTGCAGCTCCGCGCGGATCCCTCGGATCGGCGGTGGACCCCCCCTCCCTGGGGCGCGCTCCGCGCGCCAGGGACGGCGCCGGAGGCGACGCCGGGGGCTCCGCGCCGGTCCAGGATGTCCGCGCGGCGCTCCGAGAGCTCTTCTGGTGTGCCGTGGTTGTCTGTTCCTCCAGCAGGGGGTCCTCCAGGTAGAGGGGTTCGAGCCCATACCGTTCTCGCTGGTGCATGCCCGGCGCAGCGCCCCGTTCGTGGGCCTGCCCGGCCGCTGGCGGCACAGCGTGCTGGCCGCACCGGGCTGGAACTGGCGCGAGAACGAGAAGAGGCCCAGCGAAGGCAAGGCTGTGGACCTGGTGCTCACCGGCCTGGACCTGACGGTGGACGTCCGCGCTGCGACTCCTCTGGAGCTGAAGCGCTGTCTGCAGCTGCAGGCGCTGCGTGACGCCGAGAAGGGAGAGGACTACGACACCCTGCACGCACAGCTGGCCAAGGCAAAGATTGCAGGAGTGGAGATTGAGCACATCGAGAAGGCGGAAGATAGGCTCAAGATGCTGCGGAAGGAGGGTTTTCATGTCCATGTCGGCTGCGACAAGGACACCCTCCGCGAGGCGATGCAGTGGGAGAGGGTATCGAGCAAGGCCCTCCAGGACACGGACGAGCGCTGCCCGAACGCCTGCTGCCCGTGCAACGTCGAGCAGAACTGCGGGGAGGTCCTCGATGTGGTACCGGACGCCGTCCAGGGCGTGCTCGGCGAGAGCTCCGACAGGGACCTCTTCACAAGCCTGGTGGACGCCGCGCTGGCCTCGCAGGAGGGCTCCGTGTGGAAAGCGGGTGGCAAGTTCATCTTCAGCGCGTTCAACCGCAACCAGTCCGTGACGGCCCTCTGTCGGATGCTGGAGGGGTGCGGAAAGGCCGCGTGCGCGAAAATGATGCTCAAGCTCGTGAAGCACAGCGAGGTGCTGTACGGAGGCTACGTCACGGCGGTGCAGGTCAACTTCCACCCCAGCGGCGAGACGTACCACGACCAGCATCGCGACATCTACTCCGGCAAGCAGCGCGCGGGGCCAAACTGCACTTGTTCGTTTCGCGAGTGCGTCGGCACGGTCTGCTACTCGCTCGGCTCGACGCGGATCTGCCAGCTGGACACGATGACGGACAGCATGTCGAGCCTCGCGGCCTGTGGCGACAGGTGCGCAGGCCGACGCGAACGGCGCTGTCTGAAGAGCGGCGAGGCGATGTACTTCAATGCGCCGTGGAACCAGAACCACACCCACGGTATTCGGGAGCGGAAAAGAGGGGGGTGATGACTAGGGGGGGGTGGATATCATGGCGGGGGCCATGATATTTCCCCAGATGTCATGGCGCCTCCTCTTGTTTCATTACGTCCCTGGCCCCCCCGCTGGGCCGCGCACCTGACGCCGGTCATGATTTGCACCCCCCCCTCTTGGACCCCCCCCTCTTGGCCGCTCCCGAGGTATTCCCAGCTCGGAGGAGACCACCGGGCCACGGATCTCCGTCGCGTTCCTCCTCGGGTCGGCGCAGGCCGCGGCCCAGAGCGCGCTGGCAGCAGCTTGAGGCGGCGCACGTGGGCTTCTGCCCCTTCTCCTCCGCCTTTCGCACCCCTGGCGATGATACGTTCTATGTGATAGTTCGTATCGCCCATTTTCCCGCTCCAGGGGGCCCCAGGCAGGTCGGACAGATGAATGAATCGGCATTCTGGTCGTCGCGCCCTCCCCTTTCGCCTCCGCCTCCCTTCTCCGGAAAAAAAAGCTTGAGGCGGCGCACGTGGGCTTCTGCGTCTGATTGTTAGGGGAGCTACGTGGCATACTGGGCATCTCTCCTGCGTGCTGTTCTGGCTTCCCCTTCTGCGTGCCCCGTCGCACATCTTCTGTTTATGAATTACTTAATTGCTTCGCTCATTCCGCCAACCCATCTCTCATGGCATTCAGCCCATCGCGCCGCCGTGCCTGGTTGGTTAGTCTGAGGCCTGTTGGATGTTCGTCGGGATCTCGTCGAGGCCAGGCAGTTATGAGGCATTTGGGAAACCGTTTTGGGCGCCCCTTGAGGCCTTTTGGGCTTATTTTATTGGGGGCCTCGTGGGGGCCTCTTAGGGGACCTCTTAGGGGGCCTCTTGGAGCCTATTGGGGGCCTCTTGGGGCCTCCTCGGCGCCTCTTGGGGTGGAAGGTTTGGATTTTCAGTTCCTGTCCCCCTCCTTGGGCCCCTCTTGGGGCCGTCTTGGGCGCCTATTGGGCCGTCTTGGAGCCCTCTTGAGGGCCTCTGGGGCCGTCTTGGGAGCCTCTTGGGACGTCTTGGAGCGTCGGAAGCTCGAGAAGTAAAGAACCCCCACAACATGCTTTGAAAAACAAAGGGGAATCAACTATGTGATTGCTTCTCGATGCCCTCATTGGAAGGATCTTGGAGCCTCTTGGGACGTCCAGGGCGCTTTTTCGGCCGACTGGAGGCCATCTTGGGCATCTTGGACCGATCGTTCCGCGATTCGGGGGCCTCTTGGACCGTCTTCGGGGGCCTCTTGGGGTCCGGAAGACCGCCCCGGGGAGTTCCGGCATCCTTGAGCCCACATTGTCGTCGACTAGACGTAAGAGTGACCTTTCGCCGGAGTGACCTTTGGTGCGGGCACAGATGGGTCCCCAGATGGCTGAAAACGAAACAGGAACAGCGGCTTGCGCGCCCAGGTTTGGTTCCCCAGCGGCCCCCAAAAAGCCGCGCACCAAAGGTCACTCTTACCCAGGGTCACTCTTGCGTGTAGCCGATTGTCGGGACCTTACTGGGTTCTTTTCGTCCAGGGCCCCCCAGGGGCGGCCCCGCGCGCGCGATTTAGAAGTGTTCTGAACCTGTTGCCGAAAAGCCTCTGGCCCGTTGGTGCGGCGGATTGCTTCCGTCTGTTTGTGGCGAGCCATGCTCCTCCGAATCTGGGAGCGGTGGCAGGCCGCGCGTCGCGCCCTGAAGGGGGGCTGACCACTCGCAGGTGTCTCACAGGAGGCAGCTTCCTCGGGCACGCGGCTCCCGGTGAGGGGGGGAGGGGGCTCGAGGGGAAGCGGCACGACAAGGAACGGCTGGCGAGGATGATCGAGAACCCAAAAACGGCATAAGCACAAAGTGTCGGAGCTCCGCGCGAAAGTTTGCGTGCACAGTGGGAACTTCTGCCAAGAAGCACCCTGCTTGCCTCCAGGGTGCCCTGGATTTCTTGGGTTTCGATGGTTCTGCTATGGAACGCGTGACGTTCCCACACTGAGAATCAGTGGACGTCCTGGGTTCTTAGGGTTGGGTTTCTTGTGGAAGGTTTCTTCTGGTCGAGCTCATACTGCATGCCGTTGTGTTCTTCCACCAGGCATGGAGCGATGGGTTGGGGGCGAGGGTCGCGTGGGGGCGCCAGGCCGCCTTAATTTTTTGGCCCAGGCCTGCCAGACCTGTGGCGGGACGACGCAGCGCAGTGCCGCGCCTGCCCCGAAGGGGGCTTCCAGCCGTGGCCTGCAGCATCGTGGCGGTGCGCCAGGGGCAAACAAGGGAGGCTGACACTTGGTATCCAGGCCTCTTAGATGGGGTCGGAGAAGAGGGGGTCGGAAGATCGCGCCGCATCGCCGATGTATCGGCGATGCGGCTCGATTTGGAGCCCGAGTTTCTTCGCGCCGACGTCGCCAGTCAATCATCGACGTTGCCAGTGCATCGCCGATGCATCGCCGAGATATCGCCGATGCATCGGCGATGCGGCGTGGTCCTCCGACCACATCTACTCCGACCCCATCTAAGAGGCCCCTAGGGCAAGCAGGCCCATCTAGATCATACAGTCAAGACGCTGAAAGAAGGGACAAATTGGGTTCCGAAGGCGCTCGATGGTCTTCAGGTTCCTCCATTGCTGTTCCTCTTGCCCTCCTGGGGCACGGAGGCGCTTTCAGGGCCAAGAAGGGGGCTTCGCTCCCTATTCAGCGTTCCTTTGTTTAGCGGCCCGACTGCACTGCAGATCAGATGTCTGAGGTTCTGCGGTCCAGCCGCAATGCGCAAGCAATTGCTGCGTCGCAGATGTGACCACACCGTACAGTCGGGGCCCTGAAGAAGGAACCCTTTTCGTTGGGGAGGGGCTCCGCGTTCCTTAAGTGTTTCACAGCTTGCCTCAGGCTTTCCTTGTGTTTTCGACTGGAAATCGAAGGTTAACTTATGGAAAAAAGGGGCCTCGTTCCTTATTTAGGGTTCCTTAGGTCAACGCCCCTACTGTAGATGCGCCAGAAGGGGGCTCCGCGCAAGAGCACGTGCGCAGTCTGGGCGGTCACGATCGAAGAGCTGTCACGCGTCCAGTGTTGCGTTGTGATGTACATCCGTTATCAAGCATTCGTCAGAGCATGAATTACCTACCCCGCTTTCGCTTCCAGGCAAAACCAAGCCATACCACGCGCCTCCTCGTCAGGCGGCCTGACCAGTACAGGCTGCAATTTGGCATCGTTTGGTATCTCTTGGAAGCGAGGGTGGTCAAAAGCGAGGTAGGTTTGTTTTCCCCCTAATTCGGCGAGTATTTCGGTGGGTCGGGTCAGGTTTTCGACGCAAGCTCCCACTCCAACTCTGGCATCCACAGCTCTGGCTCCATACTTGTCCGAGTCTTGATTGCGCTTCGTTGCCGTTTCTCCGACTCCAGCCTCCTACCTATCCGACTCCAGCTCCCACATTCCGATTCCTGCTCCCTGCCTTTCCATTTCCAGCTCGCCTCTCCGACCCCTGCTGTCCTCTTGTCCGGCTCCGGCTCCCCTGCCGCGGCGGCTACCGGGCTGCTTGCGACACACACCTCATCCAGTGCGTGGCCGATCTCGCTTCGTTCTCACATGTTCTTTTTCTCCCTGCACGTGCGCGCCCCCTGTGCCCACCCCGCGTAGGTGCCTCCATGCGGGGCGCTGCTGTCTGTGTGGTGTGCCGGGTCAGGCTTGAATCGAAACTCGGCGGCGAGCCCGAGTGGGAAGTGAGAGACGTCGGGCCCGCCGGCCTTCTCTGAGAAGCTTTCCAGGCCTTCCCCGAAGACGCCGAGCGTTTCTCAGGAGGCCAGAGAGCTTCTCAGAAGCCCTGCCGCCTTCGAGAGGGCCTCCTCCTTCTCACTTCCCCCCTCGCTCGCCGCCGATCCACGCGATCGTGCACACTCATTGCTTGCAGGGGCGACGAGTTTGTGTGCATGCTTGCGCGGGCCTACAGCATGAAAGCAGGCATCCCCGGGGGCCTGCGCCCGGAGGCTCCAGGGCGTAGGCCTCACCGTGCCCACGGTGGGACCCCACGTCCCGCTCGCTTCCCGCTGGGTGGATCTCTTTTCTCCTGCTCCTCCCGTCCTGCTCCCTCCTCCTGCCTGCTCCCTCCTCCTCCTCCTTCTCCTCCTCCTCCTCCTACCCCTCCTTCTCCTCCTCCATCCCTCCTCCTTCTAAACAACTCCTCCCTGCCGCACCCCCAGACGGGTCGGGGGGGCAGGCCGGGCGTTTCGGCTGAGTTCCCTCACCTTTTACGATATGTTTTGAAGCTTGAAACGTGCAGCAGTCTCACGGATGAAGGGTGGGTCGTTTTCGAAATGTGGTTATTTTCTCAGCGCCGCGTACCTTCGTTTTGAAATTTGTGAACGAGCTTCACTGGTGGAGGGCGGGTCGTCATCAAAATGTGGATCCCGCCATAGCGCCGCGCACATTCGTCTTGAAAGCTTGCAAGAGCTTCACGGATGGAGGGCGGGTCGTGTAAAAAATGTGGTTCTCGGTTTTCAGCACCGCGCACATTCGTCACTCCCGCCACGCCCATAGGACCACAACACCACGACGAACGACAAACACAAGTGATCACAATCATATGTTTTTTAATAGGTGAAGAGGTGAAGCCACGGCGCCCGTCACGCGTCTCAAACGATTTTAGCGTTGAGCCCGCCCAGCCCGCCCAGCCCGCGAAGGACCCCAAACAGGTTGAAGAGCCCGAGTAAACTCTGAATCCGACCGCGAGCGACATCATAAAGAACACACGACAAACAAAAAGCCGACGACACAAAAATGGCCGAGGCGAAAAAAAAAGGAGGACGACGACAAATTCGGTCGATAAAACAAGACAACAACTGCCAACGACTACACAAAGGCGGCGGACGACAAAATCTGCAGGCGGCGCAAAGCCGCGACAAAGTCCGAATTGTCGACGACCAAATGCTGTTGAAAGACGCGCAACACACATTGCGGAAGCGCCGTCCGCATTGCAAATTGGCAAGGGATGTTGACCACAGGGCACACTTTTCACGCGGCTTGGTCGGGCGATTCGGCGTCGCGCCTTCCTCGCGCCCAGAAGGCTCGCGCCTGCGCTGGGATTCCGCGCGCGCGCGCACTGATGCCTTCGCATGCGCGGGATTTGCGCGGCGGGATCTGCGCGCGCTGGAATTGCGCGGGCGCTCCGGTGCCATCGCGCGCGCCTCCAGTGCGGGCGAAGCGCGAGGCGCGCGTGTGCGGGCCGGGCAGGCGCGCGCGCGTCATCTTCCCCGCGCGCGTGCCCACGGCGCGAGGTGAGGCAGGCACGCGCCGCCGGTGCGCGCGGGGGGATGACGCCCGCGCGCAACAAAGTAGCGGCTCA